TAACGCGCAACTTTCGCGAATAAACGCGTAAATTTCGCGGTATAACGCGAAACTTTAGCGATATATAAATATATATTATTATAACAGTAACTTGATCCGAAGGGTCGTATCACGTCGAGTTGACAGGCGCGGATCATCAGATCAAACGAGACGCGAAACGTCGAAATTGATCTGATGATTCGCGCCTGTCAACGAGACGTGATACGGCTCTGCGGATCAAGTTACTGTTATAATGATAAATTTATTATATACCCCCTTATAACTAGCTAAATATACCAGAATAAAACTTAAGAGATCAATTGTATAATATTTATCCATAAAGCAAAGCATAATAACAAGGGACTTTTTAACGCGCAAGAAAAATAACGTCATGTTTTTGCGTTCTACGTCATCAGTTTCAGAGAGTGGTGATATGGATTCAGAAAACCAGTGTGGTGATCCGGAAAATCGGATCAAACTCTGTAAAATTAACAGTAACAATAATAAGGAAATTGATGGGTATATAATAAAACGCGAAACTTTCGAGATATAACGCGAAATTTTTGCGAATTAACGCTTAATTTTCGCGTTATAACGCGAAACTTGCTTTAGTCTCAACTTTCTCTTGATTTTGTCATCAAGTTTATTTATTACAATGATAAGCAAAAGGCTATTTTGATCTTGGACTATCAAAAGATAAATTTTAAGCTTTCATGCTATTGTCTTTCTCAACGCTGTTCAAACAATTCAAAGTTTATGCGAGTTTTTTCAAAAGTTAACTTAAAAATCACCCCTTTCCGGCGTCTTTTTTATGCACTCTCTAGAGAATTTGAAATAATTTTATTTTATAGAGATCAAGATATCAGAAAATTGACAAAATGAGGTAAATTTGTCAATTGTGTCCCACCGCATTTGTGAAAATTGGATAGCAGATTTTTATTTGTCTCCGTCGGATTCACTGTAGAAATACGATAATTATCTTATTTTGAGGTTGCACCACGTTGTCATTCCATTACTTACGAAAACATTGACAATTCAAAGTGTTCAAACTCTGCTATATATACCTTCATAGTTTTTATTTATGTCTAGTCCATGAACTTCTCTATAACCCAATACATGTACATAGATATTGGAGAAAATTTAGAGACCCCTCCTCCTCAATAAATTTGTAATTAACAATATCCAATAATGATTGTTATTTAAACAGCATCATATGACCCATTAAGCTCATGAAATTATACACTGTTCATTCACTTTTAAGTTATGCTTCTACAGTGTATAATTTTTTGTCCAAAATGATTGATTGCTTAATCTACTAGACAGTGGTACAGTTGTAGTAAATGTTACTGATTAAAAAAACAGCTTGAAAAAAGTGTCAAGTGGAGATTTTCCTTAAAAAATAATCAGTCTAAAGAATTTAACAATTGAAAAACATGTACAAGAAAGTAAAACTCATTTTATTGATTCAATGGTAAGGTTTTAAAATAAAAAAAATATTCTGATGACTAATCTATCCTATTCTCGCATCATTTCTCCAGTACATCTTCTGAGGAAATGATATTTTATAAATGAGATCTGGAGATTTCCCGTCTGTGTACATGTTCTAATCTGTCAGTCAAGATCAATGTTCCTGAGTAACATTACTATATACATATTATTTCGCGAAATAACGCGAAAGTTACACGTTTATTCGCGAAAGATATGCGTTATATCGCGAAAGTTTCGCATTATAACGCAAAAGTTATGCGTTATATCGCGAAAGTTTCGCGTTATAACGCGATCATTTTTTTTAACCTACGAAAATGAGCTCACTGGGCTTTCGTACTCCTGGCCCTGAATTTAAATCATCAAAAATTTCGGCTACTTATACTGCCATTTTGTAATTCGGTCCAACGCGCTTCGTACAGAGGTGAACTACGAGAAAACTTGATAGAGACGTAAGGAATATTTTGAAATCTAGGTGGGTTTTTTTTCTTGCAATCGTGGTAAAAATTTGGAAAAATTAATTTAAAATCAAGTGCATCTCTTTGTGCGCAATAAATATACATTTTTTTTTTCAATGGACAGTGCCTGTAGCTCCCCGGTCTGTCAATATTTTTATACCCCCGCTTGAAAATACTTTTAATGAAATAAAGTAATAGATAGCCATGTGGTATGGTGGGAAAGTCGAAATAGAACGAGATACCGAGCTTTTGATTTTCGAGAGGTAAAGAGCGAATTTAATTTAACTGACGTTGTCCGTATTTTAAGAGAACAAAATTTAAAACTCCAAACTCTATGGAACCCTAAAACTTGATATTATTTGCTTATTTTTTAAAACAGATACCTATAGAGTGTTATAGGACCGAATTTTAGCGTTATAGAAAAAAATGTTTTATTGTCTATGAAATGGCAGTTCAATTACAGGGGTTTGCATACATATCAAAAACTGAATTTTTCAGGAAAAAAAAGATATGTATTAATACTATAAAAATAACGATCAAAGGAATTTGCATACCTAGCAATTTTACCAAAATTTTCAGTAAACAAAAAATGTGTTGTACACGCACGTGTTAATATAATAGCATTATGTATTACAGTATATATATATATTTTTAATTTACCTAAAAATGTTATTATTATTAGTATTACTTTTTAAAAATGAATTGATTATTTTTAATATCATGCACGTACATGTACAGTGTGGAATCGGGGGTTGGGGTGAAAACCTTACTTTCATAGTCGTCGGAAGCAAATTGAAATGGATGGGGGGGGGGCTAATTTGAAATGGGGGAGGGGGGGCTAAACCAATAGGCTGGATGTACCTCTTTTGCATTATATAGTCAAGGGTTATTTTTTTTGGGGGGGGGGATGACACTGTTATGAAAATTGAGGTAAAATTTCTACTTTACATTTTTGTTACCCATCAAACTCTTTTTCAGTTGTATCTGTTTAATCTACGTAGTTAATTTCTATTTTCTATATTAATGTAGGACAGTTTTAAGAGTTAAAAAGGTATATAACAATGACTGCCTCCCTAATTTAAATTTGATTATTTATTGTATGTCAAAATAAACTTTTTGACAACAAGTTTCTCTGATTTGTGAGTGTGTTGTACGATCACTTTATTAAAGATACATGTCGTTGACGATCGCCTCGCGGTTGCCAGTTAAAATTTGTTTTAAGATAATGTATGTAGTTTTAATTTTAAAATCATTTAGTTCATACTTCCAAGAACCATTACATAACAAAAGCAGCAAACGTTGGTGGGTAATAACAACAATAAACTATTTCAAAGCATGGAAATTTGATGTTTTGAACATTGTCGTTTTTGATCGGTAAAATTTGCACAGAAACTGTGAAACAAATTTACTCTCGGTAAATCCTAAATTGTAGAAGGGGATGTTTTTAAGTCAATCTCTTTCCTCCACAAAAGTATGAATTCTGTGTCATATATTTTTATCTAACGCCCTATTTGGAAATACATTTAACCACCCTTGAGTTTAAATTCTTTAATTGCCTTACACCAAACTTATAAAGTAAATGTATTCGTGTTGGAAAGGTTGTGAGTTTGAATCTCGGCGGCGACTGACGTAAGTCGATAAAAAAAATGTGTAGCAAATGTTCCTTCGCCATGCGCTCATCACCTTAATTGACTGTATGTTGTTTAACGCCCTCTTGAGAATTTTCCAGTCATATGGAGACGCCACCACTTGCCGGCGGAGAGCTACAAAACTTTTCCTATTCTCCGTACTCAGAGCCATTTATCAGTGAGATATCTTTTTTTGTGCTAGCACCTACTGCGACGTCCCATTTTGGGATACGAACCCGCGACGTAAGGATCGACTCCTTACTAGGCGACTCTAGAGCAGACACTCTAACCACTGCGCCACGAGGGCGACCTCGTTACCTTGAAATGAAATTTAAAACTTATATAATATTTTCGAACAGGTCAAGATCATGCAGATTTCAATGAGAAATGCCAAAAGAAACACTCATTTTTTGAAATTTACATATTCCTAAAAGAGGCAAATAATAGCCAAAAATTAGACCTGTTTGAAAATTTGGTATAAGTTTTAAATGCATGATTTCATTACATTTTTGGCTCAATACACAGCCCTAGCCCCATCCACTAAAAAGTTATGGTCAAGATTAAAGTTTTTGCAGACAAAGAGGCAAAAACTATATACCCCCGAATCTTTGACTACGAAAACACAGAAAACACACCACCTGTTCAAAAGTTATGGCCAAGGATAATTTTTTGAAAGGTAGGTCAAACTCCAAGGTCAAAGTTGTTGGTTTCTTTAGAAAGGTCTTGTCACAAGTATTACATATGTGAAGTATGAAAGCCCTAGCCCTTACCGTTCAAAATTTATGGCCAAGGTTAAAGTTTTTAAAAAGTAGGTCAAACTCCAAGGTCAAAGGGTCAAAGTTCTTGATATTAAAGGAAAGGTCTTGTCACAAGGATTAAATAGTAAAGTATGAAAGCCATTTGAAAGTTATTGTCAAGATTTATCTTTTAAAAGTAGGTCAAACTTCAAGGTCAAAAGGCCAAAGTTCTTAGTGTCCATGGAAGGTCTTCTCAAAAGGATTACATATGTGAAGTATAAAAGCCCTAGCCCTTACCGTTCAAAAGTTATGGCCAAGGTTAAAGTTTTTTCATAAGTACGGAAATCTCCAAGGTCAAGGTCAAAATTGTTGGTTTCAGATGAAAGGTCTTGCCACACAAAATACATCAGTGAAATATGAAAGTCCTATTATCTATCGTTCAAAAGTCATGGCCAAAGTAAAAGTTTGGAATGTTTGTAGAAAAGTGGGTCAAACTCCAAGGTCAGGGTCAAAAGGTCAAATTTGGTGGTACCCAAAGAAAGGTCTTGTCACAAGGAATACACATGTGAAATATGAAAGTCAAAGCTCCACTAAATCAAAAGTTATGGGCAAGGTTAATGTTTTGCGGACAAACAGACAGACAGACACCACAAAAACTATATACGGTACCCACAAATATTCGATTATGGGGGCATAAAAATCAAAAGCTAGTATTTTTATTTCGTGATTTTATTTACATTAACAATGTACTACTATATGCAACTGTACGCGGTTTTATAAAGTGTAGGCAACACTGCAACGGTAATATTTCTTTATCCTGAGAGATATTTTTTGTAAAGTAATACCCCAAAATCTTTCCTGAATTCTTCGCTAGCTTGTCAGAGGAAGTCGAAGTGGTTAGATAGTATGTCAACGTCCGGCAATTTAACAAATTCACTATCTTCGAAGCTCTTGAGATACACTGCATTTATAGTGTCTGTACCATTTATCTTACTTTCTCGGAACTGAAGGAATTTTGTCTGAAGAACATGTTTTGCAGACCCTTGAGCGATCATGTAAAATTTTTCAGAATTTTTCGCTTTCTTCTGAAGATCAAAGGTGACGTAACCATAGGTAAGTTTTAATTGGTTGTTTTCGGACGTTATCAACAAGTCACGAAACACTTCATTGAAATATGTCCCCGTGTAGTCCTCAACCGGGCGTTCTAGCGGAATGTCTCTAGGGATGTAAGTGGGGCGTCTCTTGACAGGGTGGGGCATGAAAGGTTGTGGAAAGTTACAAAGCATGGTAGAGTTAAGCCAGGGTTCCTCTTCATTATAAAGATCACTTATATAGGAACTAACTGAAATCCGGAACATTTCGTCGTCGTCTTCACCAGTTGCTGAGATAAAAATACCCAAGTGTTTGTCTGGGAAAAGCGTTATAAGTGACCGGTAACCAAAGAGGTTTCCCGCCTCCTCTAGTATTCTGTGACCTAAAATACACAATGACCCACTGGATCTAATTAAAAAGAACATGTAAACCCTTCATTGTTAAATCACTAAATGTATCTTATATAAAAGGTCCACGATAATTTACATTTCATACTAAACTGATTTACTGGCATTTCATGAATTTTTATCCTCTTTTCTATAAAAGGATTTCCATCATTTAAAAACCGTTTTGATTGGCTTAAGAAAATTTGGTTTTGATACAAAGATGAAAATTATTGATGATTAAGGTTTACCTCTATATTTCCCAACATTGAACCCCAAGCTGTATCCTGAGTATGTTCTAGAATACGGGACCCCTTTGGATTTTACAAAATAGTCCTCTGTACGTGAGGACTGCAGTTGTTGCCATATCAAAAAGAAATCTTCTATCTTCTTTCGGTCCATCAAACGGATGCCCGAGTCCGTCTTTCTATCATTTAACATGAAGTTCATAAATTTCGCCATGTCTTCCGCACTCATCAATATGCAAGCCGCACCACAGAGTTCCGTCCATTGTCTGAAAGAAGGAAAACACGAGAAAAGAGTAGAACTATTAATGAAGAATTCGAATTTTTTTTTGTCCCCCACTTTCTCTGAGAGTGAGGGATATTAATTTGGATTTGTATGACCGTCCGTCTAGCTATCCGTCTGTATTTCTGTCTGTCTATAACACTTTCCCGCGATATCTCGAAAAGCTTTCGGCTTTTGCAATGCAATTTTACATAACTACTCCCTAATGCCTAAAGAAGGTCCCAACTGATTGAGGCCAAAAGAGCAAACTAAGGTCATACTGTCTTTGTGTAAAACTTTCATTTCCGGGCAATATCTCAAGAAGCTATTTCAAGAGCTTTTGCAATGAAATTACATACCATAACTCCCCATGGCTCCGCCCTTAAAGACCCCCTTTTGACCTTCCCTCTAGTTCCGCGCATGGTCTTCTTTTCACTCGGGCCCAATATCCGGCTATTGATTTTGACCCCAAAGTCGCCAAATTAAAGTTACGTGTAAAAATAAAGTGCATAATTAATTACTCTCAACCGTTTTTGAGATTATACAAACGCTAAATAAAGAAACAAAAATAAAATCGAAGTTTTATCTATACAAATATTCATCAATAGTAATGACTTTGAAAACTTCAGTCCCAAGCGTGTCCTGAGTTCATTTGCGGAAGACTTTTTGATGGTCAGTGCTATCAGAGTTTAGACTCTACAAGCTTATCTTGGTGAGCTAGCGCTATAGCATAATAACACACAGAAGATATCTGAACCATATTTTAATTTGCTTAATCGATATATTTTTAATAGGAAGACACATTGGTGCAAAGGGGGGGGGGGTCACAATTCAGAATGGTGAATCTATAAGTGGGCTTCTCGTCGGCAATAGATAACTCTTTTTAACCGAGGTTGCCGCGGTTTTCCGAGCTTTCCGGAAAGATCAGTGAAGTTAGATTAGAAAATCTAGGTATTTATTACAATTCTAGAAATAATGGTCTTGATTTTATAGAACCCAAGTTACTGTTACTGTTACTTTTTGTACATTTCCGTGTAGGTCAGACAACAAAATTCGAAAATTCAGATTATATGTATTTTCAGAAGATGAAACAAAATTGACCTGTCTATATGACATACTCTGAAATGTTTTGTTTCCGGGCTTGTCTGAATTGTCCAGGAAGGTAGTATAACTAAGAAAAGATGTCTAGAATCGTAGCATTATAAATATGACCTAACTTCTTCTTGTACTTTTGTGTGTAGGTTAGACAATGAATAAAAAAAAAATCAGTATCCACATCTAGACTGGTATTGCCAGTGTAATTTCAGAGCATAGTAGTTTACCCAGAATTCCCGACCGTGAAATCGAGCATGGGTATTCGAGAAATATTCACTAACGTATTTAGCGCTCTCAATCTGATTAAAATCAGATCCATTGATCCACTCACATAGATCGCTATACAGGGTGCAAACTACAGTTTTATATGTCTGACATTATCATGTGAGGGACAATTAAACAAAGCTGACCCCTATAAAAAACAATATGAAGCCTTGTAACATGGTCATCTATATAATATATCAATAGAAATTAAGATAAAATTATGATTTCTTTAAATATCAACGAATAATCCATTTATCACTTTGTTCTAACACTGTAGAAACGACATTTCTCCCATTTTGATGAAATTTTCACCATAGGTGTGTCTTGTACAAAACTAGTAAATATGGTGTCGGAAGTTCAACGCATGCACTCGGTTGCCATGGAAACGGATCCATTGAATTCGGCCATTTTTTACTAAATGAAAACATGACAGTTGAGGAAAATTTAATTAAATGAATATTTTCCAGTTTCAAATAAACTCTAACAAAATTACTAGATCATATAATAACATGAACTTATATAAGGTACATAGGGCATATAATCGCTAATTCCAGAAATATTTTTCCTTTAAGAAAAAGGTCATACAAACTCACATGGTTTCTGAAAATTTGAAAAATGGGGCATTTTTTGAGATCTTTTATAATGCTAAATAAGAAAAATTATCCGCGGAAAATTTCCAAATCTTATGTGTATCTCTGTATTAAATAGTGTAAAACTAATTCAAAGCAATTTAGAGTGGCAAAGGATTTACTAGGAGAAATTTTCAAAAATATAATTACCAAAGCAGTAATTAGTTAATCAAGAAAGCACTGAGGACTATGGAAACAAGCAATTTTTTTTAAAAAAAATGAAAATAAAAAAAACCTATGAATATCAAAAAATAAAAAAATGCTATGGTGGAAAGATGTTTATAATTATTAAGAATAAAAAAAATGATTAAAAGAGATTGCCACTTTTCCTTTAGAAGTATTAAGAATAAAATTAAAATTTGTGAAAGTGCAATGATGTGATATTATACAGAAAATAAAAATTATTAACTGCAAATCCGCGTCTATGCACCTTTTAAATTTAAAGTTGCTTATCATTTACTATCGAAAAAATGACAGGTCCCCCTTTTTTTTTTTAGAACATTGAATTTTACTTACATGTATCGCATGAAAACGTACGTTACAAATTTCGTGTTTTATATTCTCTCAGTGAAATATTTTTGAAAATAGGTGATGCATGTGTCTGATTTTAATTGATATTTTATGCAGCCAACATTTACTTGGGGAATTGGTAAAGTTTAAAAGGGTATCTTTTTTGTTCTATTTTTATCCGACTATAAGTTTTCAAAATCTTCTCTACTATCGTCTCCATCATTCAGACACAAGTCTTTTTCACACATGATATCGAAGCGGTTTGATGATCAAGACTCATTTCCATTATTTACTGCATTTACTTCCGAGCGACAATTGATGGTCACATCAATGTTTTCTTGTTTATCTGTTGATACAATGTACATGTATGATTCATGTAGAAAATTCTACTCTGTAAATGAGCCCGCTGTCTGTACTCTTGAAAACTTTGATTTCCGTAAAGCAGTGACACAGATTTTCTGAATTAGCTTGTTTAACTGATTTGTAAATGCTATTAATCGATTATTTTTTTTTTATTTGTATTATTTCGTTAATGATATTATACCCAATACGAAGAATTATTATTATGCTTCCTGTCAGTTTGTCTCTGTATAACCCATACCCTACTATTCTCGCATAATGTTCTTAGGATTTATATAGCGTAAGCATACTATGCCGAAATAGTGCACGGCATACTATGCCGAAATAGTGCACGGCATCCATTTTTGAGGAAAATCCGACAACGCCCATACCGGGAAGCGAACTCACGACCCCGAGATTGTCAGTCCGATGCGCTACCGAATACGCCACAGACGCCGATATCACACCCTTAGTAAATGAAACCACAAAAACAGTACTTGTGATCATACACAATTTTTGGTGGGTTCATATTCTCTTAATTTTAACTTTTTGAAAATAAGGTTAATCTTAATTTACAAATACATGTAATAGATTATTTTCAAATTACGGATCGAGTGCATTGAAATAGAAGTAGAAACAAACCCAAATCGCATGAGACAATAGACCATGTACATGTATATGTAAGAAGTCCATACATGATTATTTACTTATTTTCTTCTCAACTTAATGTATGCTGTATTTTATTACTAAGTATGTAATAAACATATTTATACAGACTCTTTTCCACATCACATCCTGTATCAGCCCTCGACCAATATCAGCCCTCGGGCCTTTGGCCCTCTGGCTGATATTGGTGTCTCGGGCTGATGCAGGATGTGATATGGAAAAGGGTATGTATTATTCTCTGTTTGTAATATATATAAACTTAGTTTCAAATATTTTACACTTAAGATTAAAATTAAACAAATTAATTCTTCTAAAATAGTTTCTTGCAACCCCCCTTCCTTCACTCAAATACTATTCTCTAAAACTATCTGTAGATTAGGGTGAATTCACCATGCATCGGATACCCTTGTACTTCAACAAGTTCTAGCGATACCGCTACCGACGGAAAATTATCAAAATGGAGTTTAACGTTTAGTTTGTGATTAAATTATCAATTTGGGACACAATTATATGCCCTTTATTGAGAAAATATCCTCAAAAATTGACTTTTTAGGGTTAACTCAAATTCACCATGGATCGGACATTATTTACCATGCATCGGTATTTTGACCGGAAAAATATCGTACCGTTATCAAAGTGCTTTATAATACTTGATATGGATATATTTTTATCTTTTATCTAAGAAATAGCCCTCAACTTAAATTTAATTGACGATATAATTGCACAAATGTAGAACAATTCAAGAGACCTCACTCTGCCTTAGAAATGCTTTAAAATGCTTATAATACGGTAATTCGCGTCTTTTTTTCATGGTTTTATCATACTCTGGTTTGTAGAAATAAATTGAGTCAAATTCCAGACGTCATATATCGATAACTTGTATTTTCACTAAAAATATAGTTTTTATTTTCTTTTTCCACAAAAAACAGCTATCAGCTGGGTTCTGTATGAAAATGGTAGTGCTTATCTTTGCATCGGAAAGTGTCTGATGCATGGTTAATTTGTGTCCGATGTACGGAGAAATGAACATACTAGTGAAAACCAGCCCTAAAAAGAATTATACGAACATTGAAGTAAAATTTCTTTAAAATTTATGTAAAATTACCAATCTTTGACTTTATTCACCAAAGTCTGACTCGTTCCGTTGAAGTCGAATTTTAAGAACGATAACTCTAAAAATTGCAAAATCATAAATTTCTGGTTATTCCCCTTTGATGATGTAAAATATGACGTAACATTCTCGGGGTATTTTTATCACAACATGATAATAACAATCGGTATCATTAAAAAAATTAAATCTTCAGCTTTAAGATAGAAACAAATAAATACATGGAACTCTTAAGTTGAAAGAGAATTTATTGTCTAAAGTTGTCCGAAGCAAGGTATGTGTCCGATGCATGGTGAAATCACCCTATACCTAAAGCATGGAACGTTTTAAACTAAAGAAAAAGATTATGACGTACATGTTGCACAAGGTGACGTCATAATAGAGTAGACGAATGTAACAGGTGATGAAAATGAACATTGGGAATGAAGAAAATATTGCCGTTTTTATGTATACAATAACAACAGTCAGCATAATAATAACAATAGTGTTGTGTTTTGCGTGCACTATGCCTTAATAGTAGTCAGGGTTTGACACAAAGTGCACTCGCCTGCGGCTCGTGCACCATGTGTCAAACCCTGACTACTATTTAGGCATAGTGCACGCAAAACAAAACACTATTATATAAATAGACACCATTTCACATGTTTGAAGCTGAATACAAAATTCACGTACCGCAAAAATTGGAAAGACACAGGATGTAGAATCCCTTCATCTAAGACATATCCTGTCGCAACATCAATCACATCCGGATCCAGTTCGGTAAAAAATGAAGAAGAATTCATCCCTAGTGGAGCAAAAATATCCTTTTTTACAAGATTTTCCCATGTTTGACACAAAGTGCACTCCCATTTCCTTTTTTACAAGATTATTACGTTAATCCTTTTTTACAAGATTTTCAGTCTCCTCCCATGTACGTTAATACTCCATACATGAGATTGTTTGTTCTAAAATGGTCGCGGAATCCACCCTCTGTTTTTAAAAGCTGAAGACGTCTAAAATAAAATGATTTTTTGTAATATTTTTTTTGTTTACAGTATTCTTTATTATTATATGATTGAATAATTTCCCTCTATCTGATTGGCTGAGATACAAAGTTCTATGTTAGAAAAATACTACGTTGTATTGACCTGCACGTGACGTTCCAGGTCAATACAAGGAATTATTGCAGGTCAATTTAAGGAATTATTGACCTGCTCCATTTTTTCAGTTACAATGTGTTCTTGTTGAAATTTCTTGTTAAAAAAATTTCAATGAAAGCTAAGAAACAGTCCTGTAGGAGTTTGCTATTATTTAATCATCTGATAATAAAACAGTTATTGCTGTTTTTTAAGGTCAATACAATGATTTAGCCACCTTCGAAGTACAATATTCACTTCGCCCTTCCGGCTCAGTGAATATTATACTCCTCAGGTGTCTAAATCATCGTATTGACCTTAAAAACAGCAATAATTGTATAATATAAACAGGTCCAACATAATCTCTTGATTCAGCTATATACATGTAGCTTGAAATGAGTACAATATATAACTTGATTTATCTATTCAAAATAGTCTGATAAAGCCATTTGTGTAGAGTTTTTCATAAAAAGGTTTTTTCTTATAAGAAATATATAAAAAGTCTTAAGTAAGTGACAATATATAATTGTACTGTGAAATATTTAAAAATTCACCCCAAAGAAGAGAATTTAAAGATTGTAACTTTTGAATAGTAGATCAGCATAGTATTATCGATAATAGGATAAAACCACTTACTCTATGACTTTCTCCCGTTTGAGATCTTTATCTAGTCGGAGGTAGTTATACGGTCTTAAACCCGTTCTGTGGGTCATTACATCAAGAGTATTCACAAACTGGGAGAGAAGAAAAGAGTTTTTGAAAAGTTCCTTGTTACCAAAAAGATGTCGAAGTGTAGTGTTCAAGTCATATCTGAAATAATGAAAAAAAAGTAAGCAAGCTCACATACCCCACGCTCCCCCAAAAATCAAAGTGCTGAAAATCCCAGAAAAAATAAAGGAATCAGAATTTCCCGGTTATATGCACATCTACACATTGTGTCCTTAATATCTGCAAAGTTTGACGAAATTCTGTGCATCGGTTTAAGAGGAGTTGCACTGACAAACTGTTCATCTCAATATTCAAGGTATAGCCAAAAATCTAAGTTTTAAGTGCGGAAATTCGCATAGAAAATAAAGGAATCGGAATTTCCTGGTAATATGCACATCTACACATTGTGTCCTAAATATCTATTAAGTTTGACGAAATTCTGTGCAGCGGTTTTAGAGGAGTTCAAACTGTTCATCTCTATATTCAAGACATGGCCAAAAATCTAAATTGAAAAGAGCCGAAATTCCCAGAAAAATAAAGGAATCGGAATTTCATTGTAATATGCACATCTGCACATTGTGTCCTAAATATCCCTAAAGTTTGACGAAATTCTGTGCAGCGGTATAAGAGGAGTTGCGCTGACAAACTGTTCATCTCTATATTCAAGGTATGGCCAAAAATCTAAGTTGAAAAGTGCCGAAATTCCCGAAAAAAATAAAGGAATCGGAATTTCCTCGTAATATGCACATCTACACATTGTGTCCTAAATATTTGCAAAGTTTGATGAAATTCTGTGGAGATGTTAAAGAGGAGTTGCGCTGACAAAAAACAGGACTGACGAACTGACTGACTGACTGACGGACTGACTGACTGACTGACTGACACTCTGACGGACGGGTCAAAAACATTATACCTCGCGCAACTTGTTGCTTGGGGTATGATAAAAGGTGAACATAAAGAACAGCGTTCAGTCTCCAAAGATCTAAAAACTACGATCGTATACATATCTGTGAACAGGGCATACACATGGAACTCCGGGAATTTTAGAGGAGGAGTAAGTATCCCGTGTTGACTGGTCACACCCGTCATGATCCCTACGTTATAATCAGGAAGAAGGTAAATTCTTACTCATATTCTATAAAGAAACAAAGGCCTAACATTTAAAGTGAAACATGTCAACTAAAATTCGACCCAATGATAGATTATGTTCGCTATTAAGGACCATAGAATATACAAAACTTTAATCCCTACAGCATCAACTTCAGAGTCCGTAGACTGCCTCGGTCCAAGAACTGATCTTTCATTGAACATATTCTTGAGTATTGACTAAGTTGGAACATATAAACATGGTATGTATAGGTGACAGTTGAATATAACTGCATAAACAAGCATTTTTAAGAGTATTGCATAAGCAATACAAGGGGCGATCAAAAAGTTTGCGAACTAATTAAAAAACTTCCATAAAACAATTAAAATTGGGTTTCAGTGGTTTACCGTTCTGCCTATGCGCGAATCACGTGATCCAAGCAGTCACGTGACATGCTTCATAGCATTCTTTTTATAGAGGCTAAAATGTTACCATGTTAGTTATTTCTTTATAACAAGAACAGTCTGTCAGAAATGGCCTAATCTTGGGAAAAGGAAGGTGATCATTCTCCAGAAAGAGCATGGTGACCATCCATTGGCGGATCCAGAGGGGGGGTTCCGGGGGTTTATTTTTGGAGAGTGCGAGGGGATAAAACGTTTTCCGAGATTATATACATTTGTATTTGTACGTCCCACTTATTTATTGAATACAGAGATTCTCACACATTAAGTTTCCTCCAATCACCTTCTCTATTATACTTTTTTATGAGAGAATGGTAGAAAATATTCTACTTATTTTTATATATCTAGATCTTGTATGTAGCATGCGAAGTTTAATATGATATTGGATTCCCGCGATCTTTGGCTGTGTTGGCTATACTTGTACCGTTTTTTATCATATCTAGATCTACTGAAGGAACTAACATGTAACTCTGTTTTAAAGCCCACCCGCATCCCACCCCCCAAAAAGTTTTTTCAAATTCTTAAAGAAATTTTTTTATACTCTTCGGAAATGATACAAATCCATTCAATTTTAAGGCTTCCGTAGTTTTTGAAACGTGTTTTTTTTTTTTTTTTGGTTTTGTTTATTTTGTATTTTTTGTTTTGTTCGTACTGGGGGTACGCTTTTTTTTTTAAAAAAAAAGGCCATAAAACAAAGATAGTATTTAGCACAACCTTAGATATTTCCATACAAGTCTGTGAATCTTTGCTTGAGAGTATGTATGGGGGGGGGGTAAGAGGGGAACAACCCTGGAACCCCCCGGGGCCCTTTCAAAAATTGCTGGATCCGCCCCTGCCATCACAACCTGAGTCCTCCGTCTAAGAAACGGCGTTTTATCCTGGTATGGGTATAGAACGGGCGCATTCTTGTAATTGAATCTGATACCTTTTAAATCTAAAGTAAACTATATTTTAGGGATTTAATAATTACATTATTGTAAAGATATTCAACTATTTTTCTAGCTTAACTTGGCGATCTTTCATATCAGATTACGCAACTAAGGACACATCTCTTTCACTGGGCAGCAGAGTGTCATTTTTTTTTTAAAACCATTTCCCTCGAATTCTTTCACTTAAAAAATCAATCAAATAAATGATTGAAGTCCTGGAAAGTCTTTTGTCTTCATAAACCTTGTACAAGTTACTTAGTGGCAATCTCTACCCAGAGTTATCATTCGCTTCGCTACAATAGAAGTATAAGTGGTACGATAACTCTGGGTAGAGATTGATTCAGTGGTTTCAAATTAAGTAATTATGCTACTGGCCTGCAAAGGAATTAGGCTAAGTTATAAGTTAAAACTTTACAGCCGTTCGTTTCTCGAGTAAGACTGAGTGTTTCAACCAGTTTTTGTTACAAGTTACTTACACATTGACGTCATTTTCACATTGTGACGTCACAATCATGAAACCGGGCAAAACGTTATTTATCATGTACTACTATCATATTGACGTCATTTTCACATTGTGACTTTATTTTAATGTTGGAAAAGGCAACCCCTCCCCCATTTTGATGTCATTTTCAAGGCAATATTTGTTTGGATACGCCATGTAAAATTTACAATAAAATTTCATAGAACATCCAGAAAGAGGTAAACATTTCATATTTTATGGAACAATAGTGTCCCAACACATACCTGAAGTACATTGTAACGGGATTTTCGGATGTCAAATGTTCATATCAAAAAAGTTTATCTTAGTTCCACTTAGGTCGAAAAAACGTCGTTTCGAGGTTGCGCCGCTTGGACAAACCATTGCTTACAAAAACTTTACTAATTTATCAAAAAATAAAATTTATGATTTGTGGTTTATTTTTTAGATAGAAATGATGATGATAACTTAAAATTTTAAATATCAATAATTGAATTCTGGTTGTAACGCTGTATTTGATTGGATAAAAAATTTACTTCATATCGTATAAAATGGGTTGCCTACGTCACAATGACTTTCGTCAAAAACGTATCAATCCGCTTGACGTTACATTCAAATTTTGTACAAATTGAAGTCATTTTGTTAGAACAATCTTCTTTTTTTCTTACATCAAATGAATGAAAATTAAATTATAAGCAATGAATTTAATAGCTACCTATTTTATACGGTATAAACTGGGTTGGAACAGTTTACGCTTTTTTATAAACCGCTTCGCGGTTTATAAAGCGTAAACTGCCCCAACCAAGTTTATACCGTATAAAATGGGTAGCTATTAAATTCATTCCTTAAATGAATTTAAAAATATTTCACTTCTCAATGGCCCTGAGTACCGATTGTAAAACTAAATTTTACAGCCCTCCACTGGCAAGAAGCGGCGTCTCTTTGGGTAAAAAATTCTCGTAAGGGACAAATAACAACAAACAAACAAAGTTATATTATTGAAAACGTATCATACCTTGTATCATTACTCATATACTTTTGTATAAGAAGATTGGCAAATATTTTTGTCAAAGAACCAATTCCAAAAACAGTTTTTGATGTCACTGCTTGTCTAGATTCCAAGTCCTTGTAACCATACGCCTTAGAGAAGACAGTCTTTCCGTCTTTAACAACTGCTACTACCATGCCTGGATTTTGATTCCATCGACAAGCCTCAAATGTCGCCTGTAATGTAGTATCTAAGATGCCTTCCTTGCTCATTTTATTATCTTCCGGTTTAACTAAAAGAGGAAGAGTTTTTCCAAGCATATATCATTTCTGTTAAAGTTCTTTAAACATATCTCATTCCTCCAGACTAACCCATCTGTATATTAAAATTTTAAAACTACTGCAGATTTGAGACCAAATAAATAAAACATAAATATATCAATAAAATATAATGTTTCAGTTGTAAATCGCTTTGAAATTGGTGAAAAATAAGCATTTTTATCATTTTTTGTCAATAAATATATGTTCCCCCCCCGTGTCACACAAAAAGCTTTGGTATGAACTTGCGAAATAACATTCCATATAACCAGTAAAAAGGAATTTTTGTGACACTGGGGGGAAAGATGTTTTAAAAATATTTTCCGTTTTCCGTTGATTTCTATAGTGAAAAACACAAGTTTTACCAGAATTTTAAAGTTATCTCTCTTTGTTTTCCCAAATAAGTAATGTTAATTGAAAATCCATATAATTATCTATAAAATATATTAAAAATTTATCGAATATGTTAACTTTTGAAAATTGACTTAGAGGTAGGCGGGAGAACAATACTATCGTTCGCAATTCTTTGGTCTATTTTCATTATATAGCTTTGCACTCAAGGAAACTAGAGTAAGACCGTTTATTGTTGTTGTTTTTTGTTTGTTTGTTTTTTTAATTTTATGAATGAAGTTATCACGGTCACTTTCTGGGTATTAAACAAACTAACTATATACATAGTTATGTTTGGGAAGGTACCCTCTTCTGAAATTAAGAATTTCATGGTCCCAGGGTCAGTGGATCTGGTGTTAGGGTGGGGCTATATTGATTATATAATGAAAATGAGTCTTTTGAAAATCTTCTCCTGTGTTCCTGGGTACGAAGCAGATGGACTACCTATGTAACTATGATGAGCAAAGATTCTTCTGATGAATTGTAAATTTCAAGGCCCCTGGGTCAGGGGTACCATAAGGAGGGGTCTAATTATACTCTGAAAATGAAGTAAATAAATGCTTTGAAATATACCCCTTGGTATTAGTCAAACATTTATGTTGAGCAAGGGTGCCTTTTCCAAAATTGTGAAATGTGTCGCTCCAGGGTCAGGGGTTCCTGTGGGGTGGAGGCACTAGTGATTATTTCTGAATATTACTAATAAGTTGAAATGCATTAATCTTTTGTTCCCCTACTCTGCCTACTCTGGGTATTTAAAAGTAACCATTGTAAGCTTGCTGAGTGTATAGGTCTGATGAGTAATGGTGTCACTTTCAAAATTGTGAATATCATGGCATCTGGCTTAAAACATGAACCAAATTCTATAGTTGGAAAGTTGTTACATGATGCTCAGGTGACCTATAAGGCCCATGGGCCTCTTTTTTTTTTTAAATAAAAGGACTAATTATTCTATTTAAATAGATTTAAACTCAATGTTGTATTGAGGTGATTTTAAGAAAGAAAAAAAAACTATAATAGTGTATATATACCATAGGTCAAGTGTGGTTGTCTGATGAAATCACTTTTCTCGAAATGCCGTAAATGTGCCATATTTATGTAGCCTGGTCTAGTCAAATCACTTGCTTCAAATTCCACAGATCTCTTTTTGAAAGCATGGGACGCAATTCCCGTGCTTATCATGTTGAATTTATAGGATTTAGAATTTCTTCGAATCAAATCAAAGACGACATATCCATACTGAAGTTTTAGCGAACCATTATTTTCCGTGACTGTAATATCCCTATATAAATCATTGTGGTATTTTCCAACAAAATCACTTGCTGGTCTATCAAGAGGAATTTCTTTATAAGTCTTCTCACTTCTTTTCCTGATAGGCTTTTTGTTGAAAGGTTCTGGGAAGGTACATATAGTGGAGGCGTTTAGCCAGGGTTCCTGATTGTTGTATAAATCAGCGAGGTAGGAACTGACAGAGATCCGGAACAAATCGTCCTTGTCTTGGCCAGTCATGGCGATAAAGATGCCCAAGTTCTGGTCGGGGTAGAGGGTCAGTATTGAACTGTATCCGAAAATATCCCCCATTTCTTCCAAAATTCTATGATCTGAAATCACACAGTGTAATTTTTAAATCAAATTACTTGTAATATGCCATGAAAAAAAATCAAATTCCCTCAAAGAAACTGAAAAATAAAATTATGCATTTTGGCTAATTTCACTTTCTTTAACTTTCACATAACATGATATTTATTATCTCAATATCATATGACTTAAACAATAAACAACAAAATTGTATAATTACTTACTTCTGTATATTCCAGTCTTTAAACCAAGAGCATAGCCTGTGTATTCTCTTGAGAAAGGTACTCCTTTTGTAGTTGTGAAATATTCTTCAATCTTGGATGATCGCAAAAGATTCCAAGAGAGGAACATGTCCTTCATCTCTTCTTTTCCAACGAGTCTTTTACCAGAGTCAGTGATTCCATCGTTTAACAGGAATTTTATAAATTGTGCCATGTCATCAGCACTGACTGTTATGCAAGCAGCACCGCATAACTCGGTCCATTTTCTTGTATATTAATAGTTTGAAAAGATTAAATAAATATTCTTTGATGCTTGCACTCATTTATAAAAAAAAAGGTTGAGAAAAAATATTGAATTTATTTCAGCGTTTATAATGAATACCTTAATAGCTCAAAAGAAACGGGATAAAGATGTTCATTTTCCTGTATGTATCCAGTTGAAATGTTGATGAGATTCGGATTCATCGTTGTAAAAAAACTAGAATCAGTCATACCAACAGGCTCAAAGAATTCCTGCTTTATCAGCTCCTCCCAAGGTTTTCCACCCAATCGTTCACCCATGTTCGTGAGAAGCCCATACAAAATATTATTGTAGAAGAAACTGTCTCGAAAACTTCCACGAGGTTCGAATTTCTGTATACGTCTTAAAATAGATTAAAGGAAAAAAATTAAATTAAGAAAAGCAAATTCAAAGAATTGTGGTCCACCACTTTTGGTGTCTTTGTGGGTCAAAAGTCATTTTTATCTTGTCACAGGTAATGCACATGTCAAATATAAAAAATTAACAATATAATTCATACAATCATAGATTATAAATTTTTCTGACTTTATAAGTCAAAGTGCAGTCAATTATATTGGAATCCTCTGAAATCAAAGAACAGTCCTCTTATTTTATCAATCAATCCTAACGCATTATCAATCGCCTGTTGTAAATTCTAAAAATTCATTCGCTGCAAGGGGATGCCTTGTATTCAAAGCATTTTTAATGATATACAACTACCATGTATAAATCTACTTTGATATTGATGCCTTATCCTGTGCAGAATCCTGCATCCCTCTTATCTCAATCTATAAACCACTCATAATTAAGTAAAGCTTTTAAAGGTAAAGGATTTTAAACCTGCAACTACAAGCCTTGAAATTGTTTAAATACATTTACATGCATTAGAAATATTTATCTGATTTTGTTGGAAGGTTATTTTTTTAAATATTGATATTTCAAGTGTGAAAATTATCTTCCACAACTTCCAATTTCTTGGTTTTATATAATTTTTTAGTCAACATCACTCATGAACCGGCATTTTTTCGCTAAAGAAGGCTTTATTCAGTCAATAAAAGAGCAGTAAATATACCTTGAGTACTTGTCATTCACAGTAAACAATCACTTTTGAAACTAAGTTTCTTTAATAACCATCATCTTAAATCAAAGGAAGCAACACTCGTCTCTAACATTTTTTGACCAACGACCAAGTGTAGCAAAGTAAATTTATTATAACCCCGAAACGTCTTCAGTTTCCCTTTACATGTAGCATACATTGTATCTTTTGCACATATTTATTATTCTGTTAAAAGCTTCCAATATTTACAAACAAGTAGTTTTCTGATAGAATTTTTAACAAATGATAATGCGCAGATCAATTAAGGAAAATGATTTTTTTATTCACAAGCACAGTCTTGAGTTTTTCATCATATTACTAACATTAATGTTCAAGTTATCTCCCCCTAACCTTCTACTCAATGATTTTATGTAAATTCTCGCCAAAATTCACCTAGGCTCAGACTATGTACTATATAAGGCTTTAGTCAATCGGTACAGATTAGATAGCCTCATGAGTGCTTATCAAGAACTTTGTTATACTGAGTTCGACTTACTAACATTGTATCAAAGTGTTTGTCAAACCAACAGTACATTTCTAAATCTACTCAAATCTCGAAAGATAACATGGCTTAAATTATACATTGTTTATTAACAACGCCCTTTTCTTAACCAATATCATCCATGAAATATATATTTACAATTTCAAAATCATGTCTGAGAGAATGTTTCATGATTCTGTCAGGAAATGAACGGTACACATAGTGAATATGCCTTTCCATCGGTTTCCGGTGCTTGTAAATAATGAGCTGATTTTTGGTTTGTCTTTTTATATTGATAACGGTCAGAAAAGTCACGAGTATCAGATCATTGGCCTTGTCATGATTTGCATTTTGGTCCTTAAGACGTTTTCTTTTTCTAAATTTTAAAATCATTTGTTTATACAAAATTTAAGAGAATGCTATTTCTATCTATTTGTAATGGTGTTCTGCAGGTTTCATGCATTTCGCTCGCCCCAGTAAATCAAATTTATTACCGGTATAAGTCACTTTGTGTCTAAATATATTACATCAAAATATTTTCGATGCATTGCCAATGAAATTCAAACGGACAAAGCTGGGGGAGGGTCTTTTACCGTTAGGTCAACATACTTATATCTGTAGCAAAAAGGATCTGTCATGATCCTCCTTATAGTTTTGACTTCTGACAAATTCTTTTTACCCTTGTCTCTCTTATATAGAAATTGAATTAAAAAAACAATTCATACAATCATGGGTTATAAAGTTTTCTGACTTTCTAAGTGAGAGTGCAGTCAATTATATTGGAATCCTCCTAAATCAAAGAACAGTCCTCTTACTTTATCAATCAAAATGGTCTTTCGCCTGTTGTAAATTCTAAAAATTCACTCGCTGGGAGGGGATGCCTTCTATTTAAAGCATTTTTAATGATATACAACTACCATGTATTAATCTACTTTGATACCGGTATTAATGCCTTATCCTGTGCAGAATCATGCATCCCTCTTATCTCAATCTATAATCCACTCATAATTAAGTAAAGCTTTTAAAGGTAAAGGATTTTAAACCTGCAACTACAAGCCTTGAAATTGTTTAAATACATTTACATGCATAAAAAATATTTATCTGCTTTTGTTGGAAGGTTATTTTTTTGAATATTGATATTTCAAGTGTGAAAATTATCTTCCACAACTTCCAATTTCTTGGTTTTATATAATTTCTTAGTCAACATCACTCATGAATCGGCATTTTTTCCCTATAGAAGGCTTTATTCAGTCAATAAAAGAGCAGTAAATATACCTTGAGTACTTGTCATTAACAGTAAACAATCACTTTTGAAACTAAGTTTCTTTAATAACCAGCATCTTAAATCAAAGGAAGCAACACTCGTCTCTAACATTTTTTGACCAATGACCAAGTGTAGTAAAGTAAATTTATCTTAACCCCGAAACGTCTTCAGTTTCCCTTTACATGTCGCATATCTTTTGCACATATTTATTATTCTGTTAAAAGCTTCCAATATTTACAAACAAGCAGTTTTCTGATAGAAATTTTAACAAATGATAATGCGCAGATCAATTAAGGAAAATGATTTCTTTTATCCACAAGCACAGTCTTGAGTTTTTCATCGTAATACTAACATTAATGTTCTAGTTATCTCCCCCTAACCTTCTACTCAATGATTTTATGCAAATTCTCGCTAAACTTCACCTAGGCTCAGACTATGTACTATATAAGGCTTTAGTCAATCGGTACAGATTAGATAGCCTCATGAGTACTTATCAAGAACTTTGTTATACTGAGTTCGACTTACTAACATTGTATCAAACTGTTTGTCAAACCAACAGTACATTTCTAAAGGCCACTCAAATCTCGAAAGATAACATGGCTTAAATTAGACATTGTTTATTAACAACGCCCTTTTCTTAACCAAGATCATGCATGAAATATATATTTACATTTTCAAAATAAATGAGAGAATGTTTCATGATTCTGTCAGGAAATGAACGGTACACATAGTGAATATGCCTTTCCATCGGTTTCCGGTGCTTGTAAATAATGAGCTGATTTTTGGTTTGTCTTTTTATATTGATAACGGTCAGAAAAGTCACGAGTATCAGATCATTGGCCTTGTCATGATTTGCATTTTGGCCCTTGAGACGTTTTCTTTTTCTAAATTTTATTTAAAATCATTTGTTTATACAAAATTTAAGAGAATGCTATTTCTATCTATTTGTAATGGTGTTCTGCAGGTTTCATGCATTTCGCTCGCCCCAGTGAATCAAATTTAATACCGGTATAAGTCACTTTGAGTCTAAATATATTACATCAAACTATTTTCGACGCATTGCCAATGAAATTCAAACGGACAAAGCTGGGGGAGGGTCTTTTACCGTTAGGTCAACATACTTATATCTGTAGCAAAAAGGATCTGTCATGATCCTCCATATAGTTTTCACTTCTGACAAATTCTTTTTACTCTTGTCTCTCTTATATAGAAATTGGATTAAAAAACAATTCATACAATCATGGGTTATAAAGTTTTCTGACTTTCTAAGTGAGAGTGCAGTCAATTATATTGGAATCCTCCTAAATCAAAGAACAGTCCTCTTATTTTATCAATCAAAATGGTCTTTCGCCTGTTGTAAATTCTAAAAATTCACTCGCTGGGAGGGGATGCCTTCTATTTAAAGCATTTTTAATGATATACAACTACCATGTATTAATCTACTTTGATACCGGTATTAATGCCTTATCCTGTGCAGAATCATGCATCCCTCTTATCTCAATCTATAATCCACTCATAATTAAGTAAAGCTTTTAAAGGTAAAGGATTTTAAACCTGCAACTACAAGCCTTGAAATTGTTTAAATACATTTACATGCATAAAAAATATTTATCTGCTTTTGTTGGAAGGTTATTTTTTTAAATATTGATATTTCAAGTGTGAAAATTATCTTCCACAACTTCCAATTTCTTGGTTTTATATAATTTCTTAGTCAACATCACTCATGAATCGGCATTTTTTCCCTATAGAAGGCTTTATTCAGTCAATAAAAGAGCAGTAAATATACCTTGAGTACTTGTCATTAACAGTAAACTATCACTTTTGAAACTAAGTTTCTTTAATAACCAGCATCTTAAATCAAAGGAAGCAACACTCGTCTCTTATATTTTTTGACCAATGACCAAGTGTAGTAAAGTAAATTTATCTTAACCCCGAAACGTCTTCAGTTTCCCTTTACATGTCGCATATCTTTTGCACATATTTATTATTCTGTTAAAAGCTTCCAATATTTACAAACAAGTTGTTTTCTGATAGAAATTTTTAACAAATGATAATGCGCAGATCAATTAAGGAAAATGATTTCTTTTATCCACAAGCACAGTCTTGAGTTTTTCATCATATTACTAACATTAATGTTCAAGTTATCTCCCCCTAACCTTCTACTCAATGATTTTATGCAAATTCTCGCTAAACTTCACTTAGGCTCAGACTATGTACTATATAAGGCTTTAGTCAATCAGTATAGATTAAATAGCCTCATGAGTGCTTATCAAGAACTTTGTTATACTGAGTTCGACTCACCAACATTGTATCAAAGTGTTTGTCAAACCAACAGTACATTTCTAAAGGCCACTCAAATCTCGAAAGATAACATGGCTTAAATTAGACATTGTTTATTAACAACGCCCTTTTCTTAACCAAGATCATGCATGAAATATATATTTACAATTTCAAAATCATGTCTGAGAGAATGTTTCATGATTCTGTCAGGAAATGAACGGTACACATAGTGAATATGCCTT